ATTATCCTTTGGTCGCCAAGGAGATGCAGAATTCAGGAGACAAAGATACAACCCTGGAAACCCGCAGGACTCTGGCTCTTAAAGTAACCCACCCCACTCTCCCAGCATTTTAACTTACAAGTTTATGAGCTGAAGGAGTAGCATGTTTAGAGTCTTACATGAAAAACAAAAAAAAACAAGACACCTCTTTTTAAAATGATTTCAGTAGTTTTTTTTTTTTTTTATTCCAACATGGATTAAATCCAGTTTCTCAGATTCACATGTTTGGTGTTTTAGTGAATGAGCATGCTGCCAGGCGTTGCAATTTGTAGTTTTGAAATGACCTCTGTTCATTTATTTATTTGATGCTCCTGTTTCAGTAGAAAACCAGACAGTTAATATTTTTCTGTCCAGACTGTGTCAAGTCCAATCAAAAAAAAAATTCATACTGTAGGAAAAACAAATGATTCATGCCTGTCCTATTAAATGAATGAGCAGGATTAAAAAAGTTGTGTACAGGAGTCTCATGATGTTAGATCCATCGATCTCATTAGAAAAGGTCTGTGTTTGTCAGTGCTTTGATCTACAGGTTCAGTATCAGTTTAGATTACTCTCCTTAAACATCCCCAGATTGTCTTCCTCAGCTCTGATTCAGGACATTCTTTATGATACCCTGTTTTAGTTTTGTTGTTTGTCTTGTATTGACCCTTTAGGCAAAGTCCAGTAAGGCTAGACGGGTGTTGTAATTTCTGTTCAGGTAGAGAGTTTTAACATCTGACTCACTGAACTGTTCTTTGTTTTGTTGCTTTGGGATGATATCTGTTCTATGTAAATAAATATCTACAGCCCTGTGTTTAATTCACAATCGTCAAGTGACGCGTTCTAAATACCGTGAGGGTTTTAGCCCTAGCTGTGGCAGACGGTAGAAGTTTGTGTTTTTCTCATCGTGCTGTATTTGATGTCCATCGTTCTTCAGGCGTTCACACACACAGCGCAGTACGATGAGGCCATATCAGACTACTTCAGAGGTCAGCACAGCCGTGGTGTTTCCCAGTTGCCTCTGCGCTACGGCATGAACCCTCACCAAGCTCCTGCACAGCTCTACACCCTGCGCTCAGCCCTCCCCCTCAAAGGTAGACACACACACACAGCATGTACATGACATAAATACATGAAGCTGCAGAAAACGATTACGTTTTCCTGTTAATTATAAAGTTTCACTTTTAGCTTAGCACATGCGGCTAACTTTAATCTGTAAAGGTAATAAAATACATCTACAAGCTGTTCAAAAGCTAACTAATGTTACAAGTTATATATAGTTTGGTAACCATTTGATATTTTACATTTATTGAGTATTGATCTTCTCGTTCAGCTTTACCCCATGAAGCAAGTTGATGTATTTTAACTCTAAAGTTTGACCAGATTTAGAAAGGATGCAACTGAAGGAAAAAAACTAACAAGTTCAACAAAGTCAAAACAAGAGTGTGTGTGGCAGTAGGGTCATGTTAATATCCCTGTTAAACTTTATTTGCTGTTATCTTCCGTATTGATTACAGTCTAAGACAGGAGGTCATGAGGTATAGCTTGAAATATGCTAATTTCCAAACTATATCCGGAAGAATTTCACCTTTGATGCCATTCGTTTTAGTGATTATTTTTGTCCCTCTTCTTTTTTTTTTTTCCTGCTCTCTCTTAGTGGTCAATGGTTCCCCCGGCTTCATTAACCTCTGTGACGCTCTGAACGCCTGGCAGCTGGTCAGAGAGTTAAAGAACGCCCTCGGCATGGCTGCTGCCGCCTCCTTCAAACACGTCAGCCCCGCTGGTAAGACCAAAGAGACAATTCGATACAGTCTTTAACAGAATAAACGTGCACTGTGGTATCAAGTTCCTTTTTTTTTTTTTTTCTTCAATGTTTTTTATCCGTTGTTCTTCTACAGGAGCTGCAGTTGGAGTTCCTCTGACTGAGGAGGAAGCCAAAGTGTGCATGGTGCATGACATGCTGACCGATCTCACACCACTGGCGACAGCTTATGCCAGAGCAAGAGGTCAGAGATGTTGGTATTTTAAAGCAGAAACCATCGAGTATCTTATGTTGTTTTACTTGAGATTGTATTAACTCCTCATCCACAGGTTCAGACAGAATGTCTTCTTTTGGAGACTTCATCGCTGTCTCAGATGTGTGTGACGTCCCCACCGCCAAGATTATCTCAAGAGAGGTAAAATCGTTCACCGAAGAACAAATCGATGCTAGTAGAAATGATTGTCATGTTTGTTTTTGCTTTACACCGGGTTTTTTTTTTTTTTATTGCTCCCTCAGGTTTCTGATGGTATTATTGCTCCTGGTTATGATGAGGAGGCGCTCAAGATCCTCTCCAAAAAGAAGGGCGGCAACTACTGTGTGCTGCAGGTGAGAGATTTGTATCTTCTTTCTTTTTTAAATAAAGAAGAGTAGAATCAGAGTTTAGTTTAATTTCTTTTTTAATTTAAAATACTTTTTTCTCTTAGATGGATCCGGACTATGAGCCTGATGAGACCGAGGTGAGAGTGTTGTTTGGTCTCTACCTGAAACAAAAGAGGAACGGAGGTCTCATCAATAAGGAGTTCTTCAGCAACGTTGTCTCCAAGGGCTCTGTGAGTCAATGTAGCACATTCAACTTTACCATTATTATGTATTTTCAGCTCATCTTTCTTTTGATTTTAAGCTTTTTTTTTTATTATATGTAATTGAGTTCATCCTTTTGAACTTTTTGTGTCTAAAAGCTGTCTGAGGAAGCTGAACGTGACCTCACCGTGGCCACCATCGCTGTCAAGTACACTCAGTCGAACTCTGTCTGCTACGCTAAAGACGGACAGGTACGAACAAGGCAGGTAGAAGAGGGTGAGGTGGATCTGAATATGCTGCGAGTACGTATCAAACGTTTTCTCTCTGGTCTGTATCTCACAGGTGATCGGTATCGGTGCAGGTCAGCAGTCTCGTATCCACTGCACCCGCCTGGCAGGAGATAAAGCTGATAACTGGTGGCTGAGACACCACCCTCGAGTCCTCGGCATGAAGTTCCGCAGCGGAGTGAAGAGAGCAGAGATGGCCAATGCAATCGATCAGTATGTCAGCGACACCATCGGAGAGGTAAGCGGGTCTCTCTGAGCAACAGGCCTTTTTGTTAGAAAGCAGTACTTCGATTGAAGTTATAAGCTTTTCAGAGTATTTGCCTTCTGTGCACTCTTCGGTTTATTTATTTTCTATTACTGGTGGCTGTCATGTTGAAATGTGAAAAAGGAGTCTTGGGGAATGTTTGCAAACATCACACTGAACATATGTAATACAAACTCCATGATGTAGACATGAGTGTCTGTTCTGTTGACTACTGTCAGATGAGAAAATGTTTCCGTATGATCCGCCTGATTCTTTGTTTGTGATATGTTTCATGGCTGGTCAATCAGAGCTTCAGTTTTTCACTATGGCAACATCAGAATTCAATTCGTGTCTTCACCTGGATGGATCGATTAAGAAAAGATCTGGCTGAGCTGTCTGCTCGGTGATGTTCAGTGTCACATCACTGTGCCGGATATATAAAACCTGCATTGTGTGTGTTTTGTGTTGACAGGGCCCAGACTTGGCGGTTTGGAAGTCGATGTACGATGAGGTGCCTGAGCCTCTGTCAGAGACTGAGAAGAAGAACTGGATCAGCTCCCTGCAGACTGTGGCTGTCAGCTCTGACGCCTTCTTCCCCTTCAGGGATAATATAGATCGTGCCAAACGGGTAAATATAACGACTTTCACAAGAGCATGTGTTAATTCTGTGTTCACCTTCAGAAAATGCATGCTGCTGGCCTGCAGAGACGCATGATTCAATCTTTCTGCATGAAGGAATAATTAACTCTGAACACAAGTTTACTTAGGAGCTTTCCAACAGTCTTCTCCAACATGTCCTCCCTCTGTGTGTCTGTAGAGCGGTGTGGAGTACATCGCAGCTCCGGCGGGTTCTGCTGCTGACGCTGTTGTGATTAATGCCTGTAACGAGCAGGGCATCACTCTGGTGCACACCAACATGCGGCTCTTCCATCACTGAGCACCTCAACTCTTGTTCAGGTGTTCTTCATGCTGCACTCACAGTTTAGCATTATCACTGAGTCCTAATCTTTTTCTAACCTCACTGATGCTCAAAACATTCCTCCCCTCATCATGCTGCAGCTTAAAGGTCACAGCTTCACTGTTTTGCAACACATCTTTTTGCATTCCTGACTTGTGAACTTACATTAGAGAGACACAGCGATTGTTAACATTCGTTCTAGATCATTCACTTTGCATAATAAAAAAATAATGTGAAATAAAATGTTACTTTTGTTTTGTCTTGTTTGAAATGTCTTTACAGCTGATTGTTAATTTACAGTTTACAAAACTGAAGTCATTCATGTCATACACAATATGAGTTTGAATAACTTGGTGATCCACTTTCTAGTGTCATTATCAGGTTAAGGTCACTGTCACATACTTTGGTTTATAACATTACCATCAGCCTCATCTGTCCTTTGAGTTGAGTACTATTTTGCTAATGTTAGCATTTCCAACAGCCCCTGAACTGACATGTTAAACATTGTACATACTCATCATAAGCACGATTGAATGTCATTGTGATCATGTTAGCAAGCTGACAGCCTTCAGCTCTTACGCACCACTGTGTCCAAGTACACCCTCAACCCAGTTTTTTTTAACAGTTTAAAGATACATTTTAAAAATGAGATTTAAAGGTAATCTAAAGCTTGGATCTCAATCATCTTTTACTGATCTAATTTACAAATGATTTCTGTACTTTGAAGACCCTTTGTCTTGTGTATTTTGTGCCTTTACATTTGGGTGGCTTACTGCACAGTTGTGGAAATAAAGAAACCCTTACCCACCAGAGACAGAAAATCATCTGCAAGACCTCATAGTTGATGCCTTGCTAAATGCTCCTAAATAATACAAAACTAGAACTCGTTCGTAAAATTGCAATTACAAACTTTGAATAAAGGTCAAAGGATTGTTAGGTTTCAGGATCTCTCCAGCTTTATTAAAGTAAGGGACTTTTTTTTTTTTTTGGTCATAGGTAGAAACAACTTTGGCACAGACAACAAAGTACAAAAATAGAACAGTTCATATTCTCACTTCCCAGTTCACACATTCACACGTTGCAATTACAGGGATAAATTAGTAAAGAGACATAAGAAATCCGAACGTGTCAATCACAAGCAGTGCGACCCTTCAGGAGGGCTACAGAAAAGACAAAAAAGAAAAGAAAAGCACATTTTCATGGACAATTTATACACATGGACATTCTTTCACACAGTGCTTGTTTTTGACAGTTTCTGCCCATGATTAAGAAATGTGTGTGTATACCTAAAAGGAAATGAAATGCCATTCTGACAAATGTCTAATTCTCATGTTGAGAAGGCAGACAAGTTGGAGGGACGTTGCTCAATGAATGAAGAGGTCTGGAGTCTGCATTTATCAACAGTATGAATTTAGAGACTTGACATTAAACAGTGAAAAGACTTGCTTTAGAAAAAAAAAATCTTTGATCAGGCTACATGGCTATTTTTGCCTTTAAATCTTCAGCTAAATATGTGTCCAAGTCATTGGGCAGTTAATTCAGTTTGGTTGCAGACAGCAAGGCTTCTACAGGATGAGAGTGCAGCGATTGGTAAGTGAGGGAGACAAACGGGACGGATCCTTTACTCCCGAGGATTTGGAGGAGCGATTGCGTCTGCCAGCAGGTCGGGACGGAGGCACTCAATGGGGCAATGAATGTTCTGGAGGAAGAATAGTGGGAAGATTTGAGCTGGTGAGATCACATGTCCAGGAACAATCATGTATTGTGGTTGAATCTGATCACATTGTTCATGTTGTCCAAAGTGAGATTATTCCATTTAGAAAAACAAATATAAAATATTTAAAGGTATAATGTCAATTATATAGAAAAAAACTATTGTAAGGCAGTTCCTTTGAAATGAACATTTTGTATGACATTTAACAATCTTTGGAGAACAAAGGCCATAAATATTGCAAAACCCTACTATATTCATGGGAAAATGAATGTATTAAATGCGTTTCACATATTTTCTGCTCACCAGTTTATGTAGTGAATTGTCTCCATATCTTACAGGCCGAAGCAGACTGTCATCGACTTCAGCACCTGGTTTGCGGCAGTTCTCACATCGCCAGCCCTGATGAGACCAAAAATACACCAGGGTAAATAAATTCAACATACTTCTGTTAACTCACAGAACTATGAGTTTATTGTATCAAAATGTACATTAGACCCCGAAGCCAGTTGGGCTCATGTGTCGTACCTGCTGTCCTCCAAAGCATGTGCAGGTGCAGATGGCCCCCAGGTACTCCTTTTGCCACTGGTTTCCCACCTGGTACGATTTGCCATCATCGTAACACACTGAGTCATCTGTGTGGGCATACAGACACATGAAAATCCATAGACAGCTATTTTACATCAGTTTGTGACAATTTCCAATGGTTTAAAAGTGCTTACGTGGTTCACACTTGAATTCTCCTTTTCCATTTCCCAAACAAGTACAGCTCATCAGGTGACCGTTGTCTCCGCGGCGGTCCCACTTCTCTCCGATGCGATAGTTAATGCCGTTGTCATGGCACCACTCTGATGAGGGACACAATTACAGTTAAAGAGACCAAATGATGAAAACATGGTTTATGTCCACGGGGGGGGGTGGAAAGGTTTCCAAAGACACTCACTTGATGAGTCACATCTGAAGTGGCCGCTGCCCAGACCGAGGCACCTGCACCACAGCTTGAAGCCGGTCTCAGACATCCGCTCCCACTCAGCACCGACGTCATGGTGGGTTGCAGTGAAGGCATCATAACATGAGTCCTTGCTGGAGGGAACTCCCCCTGGGACTGAAGAAACAACAAAATGTGTGAAAGCTTTTGGTTATTATTTAATTAGACACAGAGAAACACAATTTAACATGCAAAAACCGCTGTTTTAATAGTGCATCCTGTAAATACATGCCCGTCAATGGATCCTCTGCACGCATGAACACAGCTGTAGCTAATAAATAATGATTCGGGGCAAGCTACTGGTGAAGTATTTACATTTCAATCACTTTTGCCAAGACTTACTAGCTAACACTGGTCCACTGTTCATGGGAATGAATTAAGGTGACATGCTTACATTTAGGATATTCTGTGGTTACATTAACAAAGAGCTAGCCTGTAATATCACAACATTTTCAAATGTAATCTCTTTCTGTATAAGAGAAAGTTTGGCCTCTACTGAACGCTCATCACTGGTTTGTGATACTCATGGAGCCACCTGCTGCTTCCTTTCACCCCCAGAAAAGTAGAGTACCAATCAAACCCTTCTTTGCCTGCTGTTGTGCAGGATTTAGATGATCTGGAATCTGGATTTAGTAAGACCTGGTTCAGACACAGTTGCTGTTGGATTCTTACTTGTGTTTCCAGCTGTGATGACCTGCTCCACAATCTTGTGTTTGAGCGCACCCAACACAGCCTCCACAATCACATTATAGTTGGCTCCAGGGGTGAGTCCTATCAGGGTTGCAGTGGTGGCTGTGTCTGGCAGGCGGACCTAGACAGGTTTGTTTTGGTTAAATAAGAGATTCCAAGCTCATAAATTAGACAAATTCTGATTGGTTGGGCCGGAAAATATCAGCACTCGTCTCTTACCTGGAACATTTTCTCATTTGGGTGTGTGAGAGGATGACAGGACACCAGGTAGGCGTTGCTATGCCTGTAGGGCTTCCAGGAGATAGAGGTCTGAGTCTGGGCCTCCTGTGGCACTCCAGTATCGTTACCAAAGGTGGCGCCGATGGGAAGGTTCAGCTTCAGGATGGGCAGCCTGCGGCCCTCTGCATCAGGAAGGGGCACAAAGACTAGGGGCTCACGTACTTGCCCATAGGGATACTGTGGGTTGCCACTGTTCCCATTATATCTGTTGTTGTTGTTGTCTCCATTGTTGTTGTACTCTGTGTACTCCACATTCTGGCTCTGACCACTATGCCCATCCTGGCCATTGTTGCCCACTACCTGGACTGTATTGTCAGTTTCAGGCACATCCAGCTTGTCGTCTACACCTCCAGGGTGGGGCAGAGGCAGGGGGAGCAGGGAGTCTGGGTCTGGGCGGGAGAGACGGGTTAGGGAAGCAAGCAGGTTAGATTAGGGGGAGGTAAAGCAGAGCTGCAATAACATATCTCAGCCAACAGGGGGCAACAGATACATAACATTGCTGGGATTCTATTTCGAGGCCAAGTGTCTTCATGCAGAATCGCAAAACACGCGTAATATTTTGAATGACATTTCTGGAGGCATTCAAAATAAAAGTGGATATTATTGTTTTAGGAGCCTATATTCTATCTGAAGAACTCTTAAGCTTCAAAAGCAAAATATGGCTCAGCTGAGCAAATTTAAGCTGCAAATTTAACCCTGACAGTTTATTCTAATGTTTACGCATACCTTGAATGTTATCACTGTGAGATTAATTAAATAAGTCACACTTATCATCACATTCGTCACTGAAGTCTGAATATACTCACTAGTCCTGACTTTTCCAACCAGAGGTGTGCTCCTCTGTGTGTTCTGGATGGCAACAATCTTAATGATGTACTCTGTGGCTGGTTTCAGGCCTGAAGAGAGGAGTTTATTTTATTTTCAAACATACTTTTCATTTGAAATGGAAATGAAACTTTAAACCAGCTAAAAGCCAAATTAAATAGTTCAACAAGTTAGATATTTCAGCAGTAGTTCTGACATAAATATTATCTTTTGTGTCAATATTTTTGTTTATCACGTACCAGATATGGTGGCGTAGGTTTGGCCGCTGTGGGGTCTCGAGGTCAGCTCTCGAGGCCCCCTTCCTGACTCCTCATAGGTGATGTAGTATCCTGTGATAGGTGCGGCAGGTGGCCGCCAGGCGAAGGTGATGGAGGTGGGGGTCAAAGATGTGAACTGGAGGCTGGTGGGAGCCTGGACCACTGGTTCAGCTTTGAATAAAAAAAAAAATCATATTAGATCACCTGAATGCTGTGTGCTTTAGGATTACAGGTGTGATTTTTGCCAGTGGTTACAGTCCTTTATGCAATTCAATTTAGTTTCTAAGATCTCACTTAAGTTAATTTAACAATTCAGCTCTATGTCCCTATAACACTGTCTGACTCAAGGTGGAAAGTGTGGAGAAAAAAAAACATGTTTCACATTATTTGCAAAAAAAATGGTAATCAGAAAGATGTTGGTTGTACCTGTTTGAATCATGAGAGTAAATGGGGGGCTCCTTGTGGCGCCATTCAGGGTGTACAGGCTAATTGAGTATATGGTGCCTGGCTGCAGACCTATGAAAAAAAGGCAAGTAAAACCACACTGAAAAAATAAAATCATCTTTTAACAGTTTATTTTTTTTGCTTTTACTGGTGTTGTGCTGTACCTGTGAGAGTGTAGGTGTTGGTCTCTGCTGGGATATTCTTGCTGAGGGTGGGGTTAGAGCCACTGACTGGTGTAGCTTCTATTAGATAACCAGTGATTGTTTCCAACTTGGAGCGCCAGCTCAGTGTGAAAGAGGAGTCTTTTACATCCGAGACACGCACACGCCGAGGAGGACTCACATCTGCATTGAGAAGGTAAGATAACAGACTTTGAAAAGAGCCGTGGAGATGACATGAAATGTGTCCGTTTATGGTTATGATGCTTACCTTCCAGTGTGGTCATTTCTCCAGTCAGCGGTCTGCTGGTGACGGAGTTCTTCAAAGCATAGACATGCACCTGGTACGCGGTGGCCACCTACGATACCCAAACATACAGTTGTAATTTACTAACTGACAGACTATGAATCTATGTAAACACTGAAACTAAAATCTCCCTCTTTTTACCATGAGTCCTGGTACGACAACACGTGTGGTGTCCGGAGCAACGTTCAACTCTTTAGTCGGGCCGTTGACGGTCTTGGGAATGACGACCACACGGTATCCTGACAGGCCTGCGTTGGGGGCTTGCCATGACACAGTGAAGGTGGAGGGGCCGACCTCAGAGATCATCAGGTTAGTCGGTGAAGGGATTACTGAAAAACATTAAGACGTGCAGAATTTTACACTTGTGCAATTGGCAGCCTGTGGGCCAAATAAGGCTCTTTGATGACCTAAATCAAGCAAAAAAACTCACTTCAAGCTTACATTACAAGTCTAACATTGGCAACTTGAGAGTCTGGCCCCTTGACATTTCCCTCTTTCTAATCTGGCCCTTCTGGAAAAGTAACTGTTTTCGGCCTGTTGAATGAAGATGGCTATGTTAGTGTTATCTGTGTTGATTCTACCTGTGGCCTGGGTTCCCACGAGCGGCTTGCTGGGTGTGCGGCCATGGAGAGCGATGACTTTCACGGTGTATTCTGTCCCGGGGCGAAGGCCTCTGATCAGCACACTGTCCTGATCACCTCTTGGTGCTGGACGCAGATCTCTCTCCGCCTCCTCTGGGCTGGAGTACAAGACGCGATATGATGTCACTGTGCCGTCTGGACTGTCCCATGTGATGCGCATGGAGGTGGAGTCGATGTCAGAGAAGGTCAGGTCTTTGGGACGGTCCATGGCTGCAGGAAAGGACGAAGACAGGTGTTTCTTTTAGCTTTTAAATTTTGTTTTTAATTACATAATTTATCAAGCTGTAAAAAAAAAAAAAGAAATGGTTTAACTTACCAGTGATAGCATTATCCACCACAGGGGAAGAGGGCTGTCCATCATTTGCCAGAGCGTAGACACTGACTACATACTCAACAGTGGGCATGAGACCTGTGAAGGTAATCTCTGTCTGGTCTGTAACAAGGAAACAAAATAAAGTCAGTAAGAAGAGGATACTCTGAAATCATATCCAGTTAAAGGTACAGCTGTTTTTTTATTTATTCTGTCTTACCAGGGGCCACCACCTCAGAGTATGAGGGTCCCAGGCCATTTTTTGGGACACTGGTTACTCTGTAGCCTGTAATTGGTCCCTGAGCAGGAGTCCAGCGCACTGTGATGGCGTTGTCAGTGACTTCGGTTAATCTCATGTCAGTGGGAGGCTCGGTGTCTGAAGAAGAAAAAAAACAACACATACTAAGCTTTAGATCTGCATCGTCAGCATGTAGATTTTTCATCAAGCACCATCTATTTCACAATGCCTTACCAGTAGTGTGTCTGATGTAGACCGGGGTGTTGGAGGGCGGGCTGTCCCCCCTTCCGCTTACAGCGATGACTCCGATGCTGTAGTCGGTGCCCGGGTTGAGACCGGTGATGGTGGCTGTGGTTTGAGTGCCAGGGATTGTGAAATCCTGAGTCTCACCACCTTAAGAAATTTCAGGGTTAGAGTGTTAAATTCAGAAAGTCGGTGAGGCTTTAAAGAAACTATGGATGTAAAGACATACACAGACCTGTGCTTGCATAGGTGATCTTGTAGTTCTTTACTGTGACAGAGGGTGCGTCCCAGCGAATGGTGATACTGGTAGGAGTGGATGATGTTACTTCCAGGTCAGTGGGAGCATCAGAGACTGGAGATGAATAAAAAGGGGGAGGAAAGAGGTGCATTTTCATCAAAAATTGAGCAACTAAGTCTTGTAATTAGCAATAGGAACCAATAGAGAAACTCACTGGTGGCCTGTGTTCCAGTCAGCGGCTGACTCTCCTGACTGTTGCTGACAGCATACACATAAATCAAATACTCAGTCTCTGGTGTCAGTCCGGTCAGAGTGTAGTAGGTTCTAGTAGGGGGAAGCCTCTCATCCTTGGCCCTCCCACCGCTCGTCCCCTGGTAGCGAACACGGTATCCGGTAATGGCAGCAGTTGGAGCCAGCCAGTGAATGGTGAAGGAGGTGGTGCGAATGTCCGAGAAGTCCAGGCCAGTAGGAGAGTCCAGAGCTGGAGAGACAAGTGTTGTATGTCATTTTATCCATTTCAAATGACTTTTTTTTTATGTGTAGGTTGTGACTTTGTCTTTTCCTCAAATCTTAATCCAGGGCTGCTCAAACGAACACAGCAGAACAACTTCATAGGGATTCTTTTGTTCATGCCTACTCACCAAATATGCAACTTTAGCTAAAAACTGACACCATCCCTATTTATTAAAATGTTTATTTTACTGCCTATCAGATAAATAACGCTAATGTAACTGTGTGTGACATGTATTATCTGACATTAATATGTCACAAATAAATCCTACTTAAAAATAAAGAAAGTCAGCAGATAAAGGATATGTAGCTTTGCACCTTGGCAGAAAAAGAAAAGGAGAATCAGTTCATTTTTTTAAATTAATTATTTTTTTAATTTGTTCTATTCAAAGCAGAGCATTTGAAACATCAATTAAAAAAAAAAGTGTTTTAATTTATTTTAAATGACTGATTCATGTCTCACTATCTGCCTTAAAATATACTTGATAACAAAGTAGTTTTGATTGTTTATTTTTTCATGTGATCCTTGTTAAACACGCTTGGTAAAAAAAATAGACATGAACCAGTCTGGATGCACTATTGGCCCTTTCTTTAGGCATCCGCTTTGGAAACCACTTAATACTCACTTGTCCTCTGAGTTCCTGTGGCTGGTTGACTTTCTTGTTCACCATACACACATACAACACTGATGCGGTACTCTGTGTTGGGCAGCAGGTCTACATGGAGATCAAGAGATTGGCATACAGTGAGATTGTCTTCAAATTGAGCGATGCAAAGTTAAAAAAAAAAACTCATTTTAGAATTTACAGCATGATAAAAACACTTTATACAAAAAAAAGATCTGTTCTCTTACTCTGCAGCACAAAGGTGTTCGTTGCTCCGCCAACATTAACCTCCCTGATGTCGTCATCGGTTGCAGCAGGGTGGTAACGGATGACAAAGCGGAGATGTCACTAGGTGTGGCAACATGGGGGACTGCCCATGTCACCCTAATGTGGTCAGGACCCACACCGTTAAACTGCAGGTTGGTTGGAGCTGGAATGACTGGAGGTATCAAAGAAAAACCCAAAGCTTAATAGTACACAATAGAATTGTATTTTATCGTAAAGGTTTTAGTAAAAGTTTAGTTAATGTGCTTTACGTCATTCTCTCAGATCAAACCCAAGCCCCTGCCCATAGACGGAGTATAAGAGTTAAGTCACCAGCGTGTGTTTGCTTTGTGTGTGTGGTCGGCTCGCTTTCCCCCTCCTCTGTTAGAGTGAAGATGCTGATCTCATAGTCCACGCCCGGCTCCAAACCATAAATCGTGTAATAACCAGCAGACGCCTCCACCATATCTTGAAAAATTGGCAAGCTCTCGCCAGACGCAACTACGGTTATCCGGTAAGCAGTAATGGTAGAACGGTTCAAAGGGGTCCAGCGCAGGCCAATGGTGGTGTCAGTGATGTCGACAATGTCTATGTGACTTGGTTTTGGGATGCCTGAAAGGGTTAGGTCAGTAGCAAAGCGCAGGCAAAATTAGACAGAAGGAAAGATTGAAAACCACCAATAATTACATTGGTTAATAAAAATAAAAACAAAACATTTTTCCATTCCTTAACAGAAGTATGAAACCCAGAGAGAAACAGTCGCCATGCTTGAGAAGTCATTAAACATTATTTATTTATTTTGTAATGAAAGCAGTCACTATTGCAATACTACTGAGCATGCTCAAAAAAATACACCATCACCATTTCAATTCAAGACCACCATGCTTAATTAGACAATCTTCATGTTAGTAAGGTTATGTTAATTAAAGCTGCATTAAAAAAAACATGAATTGCTCGTATTAAAACACTCACAGTGAGTTTGTCTCCATCACTGAAGCTTTTTAGTCCATATTAGCTCACTAAATGTTTGGATGGATCCAACTGCCCTCATTACCATTTTTTTACTAGCAGCAGAAGAGAACTCTATTCGGCTTACCATCTGTGATAAACCTCCTGCTCCACAGGATCGCACAGCTGATTAACATTTGACAACAATCTATTGAAGCCATACATTATACAAACTACTCTGTGGAGTCGGTAGAGACCAAAACTGAGATAAAAGAACGGTGAGTATTGAGCGACCTTCATCGTATGGTCATCCTTCTCATGGGATGTTAATGTTGCTGTTGTCTGCTGAATTGTAATTGATTCAAAACAATATCAAGTTTGTCTGGCCCCTAGTGGGCAAAAATATTTTAGTGCAGTTTGAAGAAAACATTGTTTTAGATTTTTCCCAGCCTCTTTTCTTTGAAACTGTGCTCACATGAAAACATTTTAGATGGAAAGAGTTCCAGTGTGAAGAGGCATACATGGTAAAATGTGAACATAATTAAAGGGAGAGAAATATAACATATCCTTTACAGTAGACTAAGCCTTTGATAGCTCTGTTTGTGAAGACCCAGGTTTGTGGTTTGATGCAGATGAAAAGATTGTGTGAATGCTTTAATGGTGACTCTTACCTGGTGTGACTATAGTAGACACAGGCGCACTCTCCAAATGGCCCTTGTTAGTGAACACACTGATGTTGTACTCAGCTCCAGGGTTCAGGCTGTCCAGCGTGATTGAGGTTTGATCAGCTCGAAGCAGCTCGTCCAGGGAGTTTCCTCGCTGGCCATTGACTGGAGTGCTTGTCACTCTGTAGCCTGTGATGCCTGCAGAGGGTTATCATACATGACAAATACTGAATAGATAGAACATAATGTCAGGATTTTTTTTTTTCTACACAAAATAAATATATGAGTCATTGTAAGTAATGAAGAGGCGAAACCGGGAAAAGATGTTTATCCTTGCTGGAAAAACAAAAACCCTCTAGGTCAAGGTCTAGACTTGGCATGATCAAATGCGCTGACAGTGCGTGGGGAGCACAGTCAATATTTACCTGGTGTTGTGGAGGCGAACCAATGGACAGTCAGCTCTCCTGTGTCCGGGCTGGACTGGACTCTGAGGTCAGTGGGAGGAGAAAGAGCTGGAAGAAGAACAACGCAAACCATGACACCAGTATGAGAAACTTGATTTGATGCAGGAGTAACTTCTTTCACAAACTCGTGCAAAGTGGTTAGAGCAGCTCTACGTGAGCTTACATCAGAATTAAATCAATCTGCTGATCAGTCATACAAATCATTTTATGGTTTCATTTTTTTTTTTTAATTGCTTTCTCTGTAAGTGTTAATTAGTTACGCACAGGTGAAAGCGTTGCGAGTGATGGGTTGTCCTTGGTTGCGCCCATTAAAGATTGGCTGAACGCTGTAGATGTACTGAGTTCCAGGGATCAGATCAGGGATAAAAATACGTCCAGAGTCAGAGGTTTTTCTTTGGGAGACTCGCCTTCCTGGCTTGGTAGAACAGAGAGCTGCAGAGAAGGCGACAGGGATCAGAAAATACCTCTTAAACATACGTACAAGTCATTCAATCTGCATTTATTGATTTCTTGGCCACCAGGTGAAAACATGGATAGAACAACCCTGACATATACAGGGGATACAGCAAACATGTAAGCAAACTGTCACCTATTCAAATATCGAGAAGTCACAGAACACTTTGGGAGTTATTTTGGACTCTTTTTCAGGAAAAAACAAACACATTTAAGTCCAATGTCTCTGTTTTGATAAAAGGAAGGACATTTCTGTAGCTGCTATTAATGTGCTGAAACTGAATAAAAACAGTTCAACCAAAGCAATAAGCTAAAACATGCTTAAGAGCGACCAGGGTGGTTGACAGGTGGTGCAGAGTGACCCATTGATAGTATAAAAATATTGATGTAGCTTTAACTTTGTTTCATTACTAACAGTTGTTTCACTACAATACAAAGCAGGTATATGTACCTTGTAGCTGAACCTGCGGACAGGTATCCAGGTAATGATGATGGAGGTATCAGTGATCTCGGTGCTGAAAGGAGGAGCATTTCCCATCCGTGGGGCTGGGAGGAAGACAAAATCAGAAATATATTTAGTCATGTCCACTAATTATTTTACTTTCTGCTGATGCTCTTTTTCTCTCGATACTGACTTGTGGCAAAGTATGTAGTGATGCCCTCGCTGAGCTCATTGTCTAGCTCAGAGTGGAGGGTGGCGGTGTACTGGGTGTCTGGGCGTAAATTCCTCAGTGGGAACTGGGTGACCTTGCCCGGAATCCTCTTCTCGATCGGGTTGGATCCCCCAGTGCTCAGGAAGAGACGGTAGCCAGTGACGACGGCACGAGGAGCGTCCCAAGTAGCTGTTACACTGTCGGGGCCGAGGTCGTGAAATGCAAATTGCTGGGTGAATCAGGCTCTGGAGGAGATAGAAAAATTAGCACGTGTAAAGAAAAAAATCCCTCATTCAAGATGTTCTTTTGTAATATCTCGGAGTCCTATATCAATGCTGAAACTCACTGGTTGACCTTTCTCCCACCAGCGGCTCGCTCTCCACGCCACCGTTGATGGCATAGATGTAGAAGCGGTACAGGGTTCCCGGGTGCAGGTGGGTGATATCGGCGTAAGCGTTCCGCGAGATGGGTAGTGGCAGAGGTCTGGTCTCAGTGCCGTCAGGACCAACAGGGGAGTAGGTCACTCTGTAACCTGTCACCTCACTGGGTGGGCCGGTCCAGGTGATGGTGATCTTCACATCTGAAACCTCGTAAAACTGCAGGTCTGTGGGTGCTGGGACCTCCTCTGTGGATGGTAAGTGGCAAATTGATTGACAAAGGGGTTTACAGTCATATTTAAACCAAACAGGAGCTTTTAACAAAAACTCCCCAGTGACAAACAAAGTAAAACAAGAAATCGGTTGTTTTTTTATGGTGGCAAATCTTTACTAATCTATATCTTAATGCTTTAGCAATTCACTGAGTAACCTGTTTACACATCTCTATAACAATTGCTCAGCAAAAAACCTGGAAAATGTGGAAAGCAAATGTACGCCAAGCCTGGATTAAAAAAAAAAGGGGGGTTAAGAAGTGTATGTAGGCTGGACATATATGTACATACTTGCCTTCATGAGTGTTTAAACTACATCCAAACAGATGTCTGTCCCTGAACCTACTGCAAATGAAAGAGAGTTCATTCACAGGCCAAAGACTTAAATGAAGATAAGAAATATCAAGCTGGTATAGCTATATCTCTAAAAGTATATTTTGACAAAGCAATGTTTTGACAGGCTCAGTCTTTACCAAACATGAGAAATCACTTCTTTAAGCTCCCTGGCCCTATATGGACTCGTCCTCTGAGAGTATAACCTTACATCTGCTGTCAGCAAAACGACTAAGACTTATCTAAAAAAGTAAATCGACCATTTTAAGAATAGAAAAACCTTTTTTTTTATTGAACAAAATACCTGCTATTGGGTTGAGGAATGAAGTACAAAAGTACGGTAGTTTTCTGAATGTAAATGTATACCTGGTCGAGGAGATCCTGCAGTGTTAACCTGTACGAACACAGGCTCGCTCTCCTGGTCCTCCTTCACGGCGTAGATGCTAATGTTGTAAAGGACTCCGGGGCGAAGGTCGGCCAGGTTCACTGAGGTCTCTGAGTCCGTCAAGATCAGCTCAGTGCTGCCGCCCTCCAGTGACGGCGTGTACACCACACGGTAACCTGTGGGGTACACATGTGTTTAAACACAGCCAGAAGAAAAAGAATCAAACTGCTGTTCTAGCATACAAATAGAAAACAGTCCCTACCAGTGATAGGAGCCTGAGGTCTGGACCAGCTGATTCTGATGGAGGACTCTCCCACCTCATCGACTACATGCTGAGCAACACTGTCAGGGGCTGACAAGAGGAAAAGAAAAGGAATGGTAAGCATAGTCTTTGGTTTAAAATTGGACAATATGTGGATGAACCTGAGTATATTGATGGAACAGAGAGCGCATGAGAAATTCTCCCACCTGTGGTCTGGGAGGTGGTCAGAATGAGGTTTGGCTGTCCCGACACTGGGAGCTCGTAGACATTGACGTTGTATCTGCGTCCTGGCAGGAGTTCAGAGATGGTGACAGAGTTGGACGTGCGAGGAATATCTGTAGAAGCAGGACAGAAAATTACTATATGTACATAGTAAATACAGTGTAAATATAATATCACTTTCCTATTCTGATACCTAGGATTTTAATATTTCTGGGTGGATGAGACCAATTAATGCAATATTGCAAATAAGTGACGATTTTTCCATCAACTGATTGAATTGAATTGTTGATTGCATTGTTAGTTATTTTCAAAAAAATGTCATAAATGAGATTGATAGAAGATTGTATCCATAATATACACCCCTAATAGGAATTGGTTTTAATTGTTGCATGTGATTTATTGCACCATTAGTGATTGTTAGAGGTTCTTACCCAGAATTTGTGGCTTAGCCCCGTCCTCACTGAGCTCATACTCCACCCTGAAGCCGGAGATGGTAGCAGAGGCTGAAGTCCACGACACAACGAAGCTGTTTGAGGTGATTTCTGTCACAGACTCAGAGGTGTCCATCACGGGAGGAGGCACAGTCGTCTCTCCCTCCGATGTTTCCACTTAAATGATAAGAGATCAATTGTTTCTGTGACTATTTCTCCAGATCTTTGTGGCTTATAGCAAATGTTTCTAGTCGAGTCTACTCACAAGAACCATGGGTGGTGGTGAAATCGAAGCGTGTGACCTCGCGGTTTCCGTAGCGCAGAACGCTGATCAGCTGACCCTCGTAAGTGATGCCTGGACGGAGCCCGCCAATGGTGTAGGAGTTGTGCTGGCCGGGGATGGTCACCTCCTGCCATGGTCCACGGGTATTTTTCTACCAGAGGGGTGAGAAGATACAAAGTTAATGGGTTTTACGTCAGTTAACTGATCAAAAAACTGTACAATCTTCATCTGCTTGTGTGATGAAATCAAAAGCCTTTTTTTTCCTGCTGCTGTTTCAAAGCACAATGGTAAGCTTGTTAAAATCTACATTATGGATCCTGGATTAAAAACTCCATCTGCTGATGAATACCATGTTACATTTATGGAAGCTCTAATAAAACTTTAGGAAAAAAAACTAATAAATGGACTAGAAACAGAAATTATACATTTGAATAAAATGTGTGAAAATTAAAATTTTGGGATTTACGGAAAGCATTATTTGATTCAAGATATTAGGATTTATATGGAAGCTTGTACATGTTGGATCTTTTGGATTCATCTTTATACTTTTTACACATCCTGCTTTGGAAGTATTTAGACTGGCTTTTCCCTCTGTAGGAAAACTACAAACTTTCTCAGCAGGAGGGCCAGATGAGAGCTTCAAGTGTACCAAAACATACAAACCATACAAACCCCCTTCAGAGGAAATCTGTTTGACTTTAATTTCTACAAATATTTAGACCAGCCTGTCAGCCTTAAAAGAGCTTCAAAGAGAAAATTATGTTTCAGAAAACAAATCACAGTCAGCGGGATATTTTCACTGGAATCCGCTTAAACCTGTGTGTGTATGTGCAGGTCATAAAGGAGGGTTCATGTACCCTCTTACCCTTACCCACCTTGTTTGTCCTTGCTCAAACTCCAGTCAACATAAAAAAAACACCTGACCTCATTCAGACTGTTTGCTCATTTGAGTAATGCTATCAGTCAGCAAATATTAAAACACGGCTTTAAGAGGAAAATGGGACCTTACTGACTTAAAAATGATTGACTCACAATTCTCCATTTGAGGATGTACTGGGTAATGTGCACAGATGAGGGAGGGTTCCACTGAATGGGGTGGGAGTCTGGCTGCTTTCCTGCCTCTGTGATGATCACCTGGACGGGTCTGTGGCCGTCTGAAGACAGACAGATGGAGGAAAAGATTGAGTGGAAGAGAATACATAAGACACATACATACCTGGTGTTACTTTTATAGAGTGTGGGTGAGAGCTGGCTACTTAAAGCTGAAGCTCTGTCAGATGAAATCATCTGGGTTTTTTGGGCCAGAACAAACCCACCAGACGGTGCTAAACCAACTCAAACACCCCCTGACATCTTACGGTTTTGGCATAACACAAGAGTGCCATATTCATCACGATGTATCTAGCCTCTGTACTCCTTAATACACACACACACACACAAAGAGATTCACACTCCATGTTCTGCACACACACACACACATAGGTTCATCTGCACTGATAGTTGGGAGATAAATGTTGCAACTGCAGCATCAGTCAATGTTTTATTAGCACATTGTTCTGCAGTACAAAGTATCACATTAAGCAACTGTTCCCAAGTACGGCTAGATATTTGAGGTAGTAAGTGTGTTCAAAGCTACCCCTCAGCAGGTCAGCGGGGGAGGAAAAAAACCTCTCTACTACCAAAAGACCAAAGGGAAGACAGGGGTGATGTGTTTGGCTGACACTTCACCATTTGCCAAGCTTCAAAGTCACAAAAAAAAAACCTAATCCTTCCAATAACATGGCAAGTAAACGCTCACTTCAGTGACGTGTGATGGGAGGTTAAAGGTAGGTGGGGGGGGGGGGGGGATAAATAATGAAGGGAGGTTGAATAAGTTCAACAAACACGACCTAAGCTTTAGCAGCAGACTAACTAAGTCAGGAAAGTACTGGGTGACCCTGGAGGAAATAAATTGAAGCCGGAGAACATTTCGCTGTGGTCATGATGACTGGTTTATATGTTTGTCTGAAGTGCTCTTTGCAAAAGAGATTCATGACCACAGACTCATATTATACTGAACTGTGCAATGGTTTAGGAATTTAATCTCTTAGCGTCTGTTTTTTTCTCCTAATAAAACATTCATTTTATTGAAGCGTTACAGATATAAAGTCTGATGTTGAAAACTGGATACTCTACAAAATAGAAACTTCTGCTGAGATTGAAATGTAGACCCATACTCTATATTTGTTAACCTATTGATAAAAAGACACTCAAATAGATATTCTGGTTTCCAAATTGCACTCAACAACTCTGTTATCACTTATCTAACTTTAACTCTTGATTGATGATTTCTTTATGTCTTTGGTAACCAAGACCCGAGTACCACCCGAGTACCTCACCTTTAAACATGTTTCGAATGACAACAAACGCCCTTCAATCCTTGAATGATTATCTCTAGTGTAGTTTAGATAAATATAGAAATATGAAGATCTAAATCATGTGTTTATATCATCAATTGCTTGGGGTATAGCATTTCTTTTTTTGTCAAGTCTTCTTGTTGATTGCATATTATTAGTTGTTGTGTGACAACATAACACAGTTAACATTTGTCCACATATATTCTGCAGAAACATGGCTTTGCACCTACTGAAATGGACTGCACCTTTAACAGATCATGCTGGGATTACATGTGTTTTTTTTCACCTTGGTAGGTTTGCTGAGGTTCACATCTCATTTCTCCGTTCCCATTGCCGTAGCAGTAACAGCGATAGTGGACTCCATGGATGGCTTTGTCCCACACCTCTCCGATCTGATAGAACGTCTTGGTTTGTGGCTCCTGACACTGATCTAATGTAGGGGGGGAGAGAGATTGCACAGGCCGGTTAGAAGTGGAGTTAATAATCGACAGATAACAGTGCTTTTGCCTTTTCATTCCCACAGCTAATGAGCGATTGAACACACCAATAGCGTCACACTTCCAGCGTCCACGTCCCTGTCCGTAGCAGGTGCAGTTCATCATGTAGCCCTCGTTGTGGCGCTTGGAGAATTCCTGGTTTACCTCATAGGTGTAGCCCTCAACGATACACTGATCTGGTTCCATAAAAGAGGAGCAGAGTCAACATCAAACCTTAGTGCTCCACTGTCAGATTTTACTTTACGACCACTTATCAGAAGACAATTTAGAGTAAGCTCTCTGACCTCGCAGCTGTGAGTGAGCGACACAGCTCCACTCCCCCTGCCATTTCCCAGGCATGTGCACTCCATCATGTGACCCATGACATCATGGCGTTTGTCCCACTTGTCGCCAACACGGTACATCGTTCCATCGTTGGTAGTACATAACTCCTCATGGGCTACATAAAGAAAGATGAAGGGGGAAAAAACAGTTTAAAAAACAAACGTTTTCCTGTATTCTTCAGTGTGTTTCACTTTGTCTGGGTGTCAAAGTGTCGCCATTATGTGTGTAATCAAATGTTGTTGATAGAGATGTTACCGTCACATGACCACAAAGCTTTTTTTCCCTTTGAGCACAATTTATTTCTACACCAATTTTCTGCACGTGACCCATGCAACCAGTCATTGGCAACACGATGCGATAAAGATTAAAGGATTTAAAGTATCCCACCATTTACAAAAACAAAATATCCACAGCACTGCAGTTTACAAATTAACACTTCTAACTCTGGGAGGAAAAACAGGATAAGTGAGGAAAAACTGATTGAAGGCACTTTTTTAAGTATACCAACTTTCCTCTTCTGCCAAGAGTTCATTGTGAAAATGGATACCACTGTCTTGTATGTATGTCACATTTGCAGCTCACAGACATTGGCGGGCTAACAGCTCACAAAGTTCTGCTCCATGTTACAACATCAGCCCCTTCTTGAATCTTGTTTTCTTTATTTTGGCATAAACATACGTGTTAAAATAACATTCCAAAATATATTACTCCCTAAATAAAAAGAAACCAAGAAATGTAATCGATGTAATATGGAGAATTTAGATCCTAAAAATCCCCATCTTTGGTTCAGTATCAAAAATTGAACTTGACACATTGAAGTATGAAACTTTACTTTTTTGTTGCTTCGAGGGCTTTATAAAGTGCATACATTTCACTATCAGAATTTGGTACCAATTAAAATCTGGTAGTTAAATACAAGGAGGTGTGGCACATAGCCTATGAGGTGCTATTAGACTATTTCGGACTTGGACTATGGGTTAGCTCTTTGCTTTGTTTCTCTCTTTTGATGCTATGACTAAGCTAAATGTGTTTTGACTTTAAGTTCAAAATGTATGAACTGTATGTATGAGTGGTATTTATCTTCTTATCTAATTCTTGCCAAGGAAGCTGATTACCTTCTTACTCGCACTACAAAAAGAAGTATTCCTATGAACCCGTGTTTTTACTGACATCATGGTTTTTACATTTTTTTCTACGTAAATCAGTTCCACTCAGTAAACCATATTGTGAAACAAACAATGAGCAGTTTTGCACAAACACAAACACTTACCAGCCATGGGACAGAATCCAAAGCGCTGCTCGGTGTCATAGTCATAGCTGGTACCGCACCACCTCATTCCGTCACGGCGCCCATCAGATGTGCAGTCGGTATAGTTGCGTCCGCTGTAGAGGTAGGGGAAGTGACAGAGAGCGTTGTTGGAGTTTCCACCTCTTGTTGCCACAATGACTGGAATGGAAAGGGAGACACAGGACTTACTGCATGTTTTTGGTCTGATTAGTATGTGATTTAAAATGCGACTCTATGAGAGGGAAGCTTGATCATCAAGGACATAAACCTATCATTAATCAATATCAACACAGGAATAGACAGGTTACAAACAGAACTAAACATCCAATTTAAAAAAAACAGCTAAATTACATTGCAGGTTTTACAAACTGTGGACACAAACTGACAAACAACAAACAGTAATATTTCTAGGATACCAGTAAAATAACCAAACGCAGGATTATGTCCTCCTCTCTGAGTCTCACCATTCTTCTCAGTACAGAACGAGTACTGCTGGTCTGCCTCGTAGTCTGAGGTTGTAGAGCACCAGAGTTGCCCGTCTGTGCGTCCATCTGAAGTGCAAGAGTAGTAAGTCTTTCCCATGAAGACGAATGGGAAGGTACAGGGCTGGCCGTTAGAGCTGCCACCGTACGCCTGGTTCCTGGCCTCTGTACAGAGTGAAGGGGGAAGAGTGAGGAAAATTAGAATTATTAGTGGAGACAAAGACAAGTGCATCTAATTATGCTGACTATTTGTGACATGAATGGGATGTTCTCTAAAATATTTCATAATCTGAGAGGATTTTTTTCAGACTAAAATCTGAGCAAAAAGTCTAATAATTTCCCTTTTCTTCACTGGGACCCCTGCTTTTCTTCCCTCCCGCTGTACTCACCATACTCCTGACAGCTGACTCCGTTGCCCAGACAGGTACAGATCATGTGCTTGCTGCCCTGACTTCTGAACCAGCGCTGTCCATCGCTGTATGTCGATCCAGATTCTGTGCGGCATGTCCCTTCTGGCAGCAGCTGAGTCTGTGGGGTCACCACCAAGGTACCTGTAGCTGTTTAATAGAATGACAGCGTTATGGGCTGTGAATACTGAGAGAGTCATATGGCCATATGCTGAACACAACTTTGAAACTGAGGTTTTGAATCTTACTTCGGCCTGCATTGTGTCTCTCGCACTTCCACTCGCCACGGCCGTTCCCCATGCACTGACACTGCAGGATCTGTCCACTTGTGTCTGTCTTTGTCCATGTGTCTCCGATACGATGTGACCTTCGGGTTTCCTTGTCATTACAACGATCTGGTAGAAGAACAATAGCGGTCAAAAAAGCTGCCAATAAACAAGTGTTTTAAAGAAATCCAGGTGTTTAGATTCTTCTTACTCCTTGAGGTGCATGTGATCGTCCATTTCCTTCTCCCAGACAGGTGCAGTCCAGCATCATCCAGCCCTGGTACGGTTTCTCCCACGTCTCCCCACCATGTATGATGATGCAACACTGTTGTCAAAGCACCGCTCGGCTGCACACAAAACACAGGAGAGGCTTAATTGTTGCTGCAGTCTGTCAAGAAAAACTACACATTGGACTTTAAATCACAACATCCAAATCACATTAGAGAAATAAACCAAGTAAAAATCAACAACGGTGGCATAAAATGGGAAACGAGGAGAAAGGTGCTCTTTGACACACTCACCTTGTTTGTCTGAGCTGTTGACTGTCATCAAATATTTGCATGGTAAGGCTTTAGAGACGTTAACCCTGTATCTAAGTTTGTGAGTGTGTGTATGTGTGTGTTGTAGCAGCTTGCTTATTCCGTTTTGGATTATTTCACATTAATCTGCATTCAGGAGGCTTCTTACAGAAAACGTTAGAAGCCTGCTAAACCTGCATGGTTTAAAATGTGACTCACCGACAGGTTTGCAGGTCCACTCTCCTTTGCCGTTTCCGAGACACACACACTCCAACATGTAGTCAGCAGTGTCGTGAGGCCTCTGCCAGGTGTCTCCGATTTTATAAGACCTGCCACCTTCATGGCAACGATCTGTGAATGACAATACAATCCGAATGATTTCAAATCTCCTTAATATGCACTTTGACAAATATAAATCAATACAACTGATTATTATGTTTTATCAATTTAGATATTTAAAGAAAACATCATGAGGGATTGCTTGGTTTCCAATTTACTGAAAATATTTTTAATTTCAAACTAATTATTGTTTTGAAGCAGGTCATGTGTGGGATCCTGTTATTCCTGGGACCTCCCTGATACTGTATCAAGTACTATTTGAAAGAATACTTGCTTTTTAATCTATAAAGTAGGAAAGACTTCATGTGGGGTTTTTTTTCACCTTACAATAAAATGTTGCCAAAAATCCTCCTTTTTGTCAAGAGAACTACAAATAGCCTACTATAACCTGCATTCATAATTCTTTAAAATGTGTTTATTTGGTGATAATCTAACATGATTTGCGTTGATTGTTAACCTGTAAACACATATTCTTGTGACTCACTTGCAATGGTACAGCTGATCTTTCCTCGACCTGAACCGATACAGGTGCAGTCCCACATCATCCCGTCCTTTGGTCTCTCGTAGGTTTCCCCGACCCGGTACGTCCGGTCATTGTGCTTATCAAAACAGGTCTCCTCCACTGAGAGAAAATCCGAGGAAAGAGAGAAAGGTTACGACGCTGCCATTGTGAACGTGCTGTGCGCACTTCTTGTGAACTTTTATGCATCCTCAAGTGTTTGTGTTTTTTAAGGGTTGGTGCTTTAGTAAGTTAAGATAAGCCACTTTTGCTTTATGGTTGGCATGAACACAGAAGTTCTGAAACAAGACATAACGGTGGGGGGGGGGGGGGGTCGACCTCCAAAAGTAAAGTAAGTTTTAACTTGTTTCCAGTTTGGGCTTGGAAAAAAATGAGACATTTCTGTAATGAACCTTGTCGGTGTGTCACTGACCGGCAGGTTTGGTTTTACACTTGATGCCTGCTTCTCCATTGCAGGTGCACAACAGTGTGCTCCCGAGGTAGGGTTTCTCCCACTGCTCGTTCAGTCTGTATGAGCGACCGTTTTCCTCACAGCCGACTGGAAATCATACAATAAGAAAATCATCACATCAAGGTTTTTAAAAATGTTTGGTTGGGAAAACAGACGTTCCCGTATTTGATGATTCGACTCGCAAATTAATGCAAAGTAAAATCATTGTGTATGAAAAAAAGGTAATAGTAAATGCTGCATTTATTGGCACAAAAACACTCAACTCTCAAGAAATGAAATAAAATAATGCTTTGTATTTACAAACACATGACAATTAAACTGTATAAAAATTGTATTTACAAACAACAACCCTTGTACCAACCTGGAGAAACGGCCGATGCATCACGGAGTTCAGGATACACCTGATACTGGCCAGATTGTCTTTTGCTCTTCTTTGGCAACCCGTGCACCGCGCTGCTTACGCACAGCGCAACCAGCAACCCAGTCAGCGGGCTACTAGTCATTGTCAAAAAAAAAAAATAAGGATTTCAAGGTAAAGTATGAAAGGGTTTAAACGTATGCAGCTTGGAGTAATTTAGTTTCTGTCCCTTGACTTCAGTTCCCTGCTGCCACCTCGCAGCCGGTGCACCAGGCCGAGGAGAGGGGAGCGCGCTGCTTTTATACACGGTGACACCGCAGCAGACTGTTGGAGGGGGTGGGCTCTAACGGGAGGATGACCCACCCGAGCGATACTGACACTCGACACCTCACTTCCAGGGACCGAAAAAAAAAAAATGCATATTGGCACTGGATTTGGGGAATTAAAATATCAAGCAGTAGCCTGTGTTTTACTGTCGTTTGTTATACATTATTGGGCCCATAACTAATGCCCCCCTAATCAACAATTTGACAGTGTGAATACTGTCCAGAATATAAAATGAGACAAAAACGTAACGAGTCCAAAACAGCAGCTTGTTGATGCACGAGGAAGATTTTTAAGTTCTGAAGCTTAAACTCCAGACAACAATGATGACAGTTATTTTTATGCACAATAAGACATCAAACACAATCACCAGATTTCTTTCAGACTTAATGTGTCAATATTAGGGCCTAATACAAAAAACAACAGTCTTTTTTTGCACTTAGCCTACTCTGTTAGAAATGAGTTCAAGTCTTTTTAATAACATGTTGATCTTTATGTCGCATACTTAATGCCTTGAAGGTTGTTGTTCTGATATGTGTTATTTGCATGTTTGTCTAATATAATCCGTATTGTAAAAAAAACATCGCAGACAGTCTTACCAGAATCAATGTAGCCTACCTCCAACACCACCCCACACACCCTCTCCTTCTTTCCACTTCACCTGTTCTACATCTGTCAACAGTTTCTTCCTTTCTTTATTTATCATCTGTCTGGTAAAGCCAAGTTTGCGTTACAGAGAAGTGCTTTAATGTGTTATTCACAGTCAGTCAACATGACTTTTCCAAGCAAACATGTATTTCTGTTTAAATGTTAGAAAGTGAAATTTTGTGCTTTGAATGTACTGGCATTTCTAGAAAAACAAATTTCGAAATATGTTTCATCATGAGCAACGCAAGTGTTTAGGGAATCACATTTTTGCTATTGAAAGAATCAATCTTTTTTTAAGGACATAAGAATTCTGAATTCAGTTATTGAATCTAAAATGTTTTGAAATGAAATGTTTTCATATTTTGGTGACAATAAAAAAACTCATTTTAGTTGTTCCCATGTAACTCTAAATTTCTGCATAAGTGTCTGCATGTGACTCATTTTGAATGCATTTTAGTCAATGAGCAGAATGTTCTTTGCATTTATGCATGGCACAACATGTTATGCACTTGACGGCTGAATGAAATTAATATGTATTTTGTGTTTCCTCTAAATCCTTGAGGTTTGCATAATATAGACAATCTGTGGTTTAACAATCTTCACCAACACATGGCTGATGGTTGGTTTCTGATGGTTGGGAAGTCATAGTTATGTACCTACCAAGGGTATGTGGGTTAATTTGTGGAAAGGTTATTTGTCTGCCAAGAAATGAAATGTTTTTCAAAAAACAAGGGAAAAAAGGGAAAATAATTAAGATGACCGCAGGGTGCTGCCTTGTTCATGTCATGAACCTGCTGAAAGGTCTGTTGTGGAGAACAGCTCCTGTGTGAGAGACTGTGGTGTTGGATTTCCCGTCAAATGGCCTTTGGTACGAGTGGTAAATGAGGTTTGAAAAATAAAACACATGGTTTTGGGGAAAGAGAGAAAGAAAACAGCACAAACACTGTTTTTGTTTTAAAACTAAGTACAACTGAGTCACTAATCTCGGCGGGGTGGAAAAAGCCTCCACATACTTTCCACTTGTGAAACAGCGCCAAACTGTGGAGGATCAAAACCCAGGAGATTTTGAAGCTGCAGAATGTTTAGTAAAATGTTTAACTTTCATATTCACAGAAGTTATACAATGCATGTGTTCCTGAAATGTGCAGTCATGCAATAAAGGGAGGAATCGGGTTTATAAGAATGTATAAATATTTGGAAACAAAGGGACATTGAGTTCCTACCAGAATTGTGTATTTGGGGTATGACTTAATTTCCTGAGCTGTTGGGTCTCACTTTCAGATTTATGAGCCGTCTCTGTTAAAGTCTCTGGAAGGCTGCCTGGTTTATATCAAAGCAAACCACCTCATGTCTTCTTCTCTCTCTGTGTCTGTTTTGAATACGAGACATCCATATTTCAACAAAGATTTATGTGCACTTTGAATGTTCTCGCTGTGAGTTTCTGTTGACCCTCAGTGTGAGTGATTTGTATTTTGGAGCTGAGTGGAGTGAGAACCTGGACTGATAATCCTGCAGACCTGGAATTGGCATTACTGCAGGATGCTGCTGTCTAACATTTTAAATTAGTCTTTTGCATTCAGCTGTTTTTTAACAGTGAAATTTGCTATAAATCAGTTGCAAGTAGCATTACATTAAGGTAGGTTAATTTGAAAAGGCTGCAGAGCATTACCAAACAACAAAAATCTATACTTAGATGAACAAAACATACATTTTCTTCAAGTTTATTTTCCCACAGTCGATTTATTCACGGAAATCTACAGCTGTGATATGCATAAATGCTGAGCTGTCAATGGTAGCTTATGTGTTTTAGAAGACATTGAGATTTGATCATTTTATTCTCCCTAATGAGAAATAACTTTTCATTTGAAGCTACCTCCACAAACTGGTATCCATTGTTTAGGTTAAAACCTACAGGAGATAAAGAGTTTCCAAAGCAAACAAAATCCATCAACCAGCATCTCTTTGGCTCAAAGTAGCTGAAGTGGAGATAACGTTTTTTTTTTTATCCCATTAATTTTTTACTTGCAAATTGACCACTGACAGTTGAGTCACAGAGATGTGCATAGACTTCTCAGAAATGACAAAGTGCACTGAGAGCGACTCACTTAATCAATGTCAGGTGGGGTTTTGACTGCTATGCCTCTGAGGAGAGTATAGCAACAGGTCCCAGGACTAATGAATCAAATGTGTGCACAGGTTTGACAAACACATTTATCACAAACTGGTTTCATATGGTTGACTGGTTTCTTAAGGATTAGTTTGCGTGCTTCCAGAACTTATCCATATTAGTAATGGGTTTCAACTTGGCTGACAGACAGAGAACAGAAACTGGTACTAACTTCAACTATTTCCAAATCTAAAACAAGGCATATGTGAAGTGTGCCAACTTTAACACATGTGGAGCAAACTGTGCTCGCGCAATTTGGTGAGTGAGAGACAGATGGCCACAGCTGGATGGAATAGTTGGGGGAGGTATTTGTGATTGTGTTAATTGACAGATTGGTGAAAAAAAAAATTGAGACGATTTGGTAGAGGGACCGTAAATTGGATAGTAAAATTGTAGATTTATGTTGAAAGGCAGTGGGAGATAAGCAGCAATGGGTCAATGACTATCTTTATATTACACCCATGTCGATCTGTTCTCCTGCTGTTTGCCATAAGCATCCTGCCTGAAAAAGTAAGAGTAGGTAACTTTGCAGTTGTTTAAATACATAGAGAAAAATACCACAGATGCAGTTATGCAGAAGTAAACACTCAAACAGCTGTTGGGTGCAAATAAAATGGTTGAGCAACTAAATCTGGGCTTGTCAGCGTTCTCACTGCTCCTCGTCATTGCCCGGCTCTGAATCAGCCTGAATTTTCTTCACAGGATGTGAAGAGCATCTGCTGGTCTGCTGACAAGAAATGCCAGAGGTCGCAAGGAGTAGGCGACCTGTTCAGAGACGAACACTCTGACAAAGCTCTTCACAAGATTCCACAACACGGCGCTACAATAAAGAGTTACTGTGGAAACCAGATTGGGTGAGGCCGTGTGGAGAGTGACAGCAAGGGTTTGACAAGTAAAGGGTACTGATGGTGCTGCTTCATCGACTGAATTATAGGTTGAGTCACACAAGACGCTCCCACACCCAGGAGATGAGCAGCCTCAGAGACAAGAGACCGGAGGAGGAGCAAAAGGAGCAGATAAAGCAAAGACATTTCATGGCTCTTAATGCTAATTTTTAACTGTATTTAAACTTCCAAAATGTGGGGAAAAAAATGTAAGCTGACACAAACTGTCCACGCACAGACCAAATAATTCAAGTTGCGCAGGGCATGACTTTGTTGTATGATGACGTGAAAGTATTTGCCTTAAAATCTTAATTGAGGAACTCAAAGCTGAAACTTGTCTTGTCACTCATTAGGGGGCAGCCTTAAACAAAACACTAACATTTGCTTTTTTAAACAGGAATTCTGCAGAATTATGGCATTGTAAATCAAAAGACTCACGGTGTGTAAACAAACATCAGAAGCTTTACATATACACACATAAGTCTGAGATAACACAGACACATAGGTGCTGTTCCTATCAGCTCTGCTGTCTGCCATTAGCCTCTGTTTCAACTCTGTTTCTACCCCAGATGCCAGCAACGAAGCTGAAAGACTTTGCCCCACTGTTTTGATTCTGGAACTGTCTTACCTTGACCATGCAATGTAAAAAGGTCAAGTTTGACCTGTAAAACTGAGAAAGTTGCAAATTTACAGGTAGGACAGATACAAAGCAATAGTTCAATATTTACTCAACTTTTAGCTCAGTTTTATCACCACCCACTCCTGAAGGAAATATCTGGCTCCATAGTTTCTAAATGCTCTGTCTACCATTCTGTGTTATCAGGATATTAGTTTTTGTTTTGTTTTTTATGTTGGAAACAACTTCTATTGTGATAGAGCTGTGAAGAATTATATGTGGGTGATAATTTCTGCAGGTTCAATTGCAGACACTATAAATTATCTAATCTTAACCTTAAAAGACAATTTCTTCCTGTGAGAATTCTGTCCTCTCTATCTTTTTAGGATCCATCTTTATCCCTACCAATGCAAAGCCCTCACCTCTGCAAACAGCTCAGCCTCCTCTGTCCAGTCACAGTTTATATCTCCACCTGTCAAACCAACATTGGCTGTGCGGTCTTTTCACTCTGCGACTTCAGATGAAAATAAGCTGAGCTTATTAGGGTTGGATATTTGTTTCTGCAGTGTGGCATGTGTTTGTTTGATGGAGTAAGAAGGTAAAACAGTAAAAAAAAAAGGTCT